ACACTTGTAATATAAGCCCCACCCCCAAAATAAGCCCCAGTTAAGATCATCAGCCATATGGACACACACACATATATATATAAATTAAAAATAATATATAACTTATTTCTGGGGAAACACGGTAGCTTAGTCAGTTTAGTGAGAAGAATATGTGGAATGATAGTACTGAATGCCAAGCTGAAGTCTATAAAAAGGACCCTTGCATAGGTCCTTGGAGTTGGGTACAGAGTCTCTTCAGTTACTAATGAGGCATAGACAATTTTAAAGGATATTTGAAGCTTCTTATCAGATCACTTTATCTGGCTCTCAGCTATTATTCAGCATCATAGCAAAGCAGTAGAAAAAATATGATTAATGGAAAGTAGCAAAGTAAAAGTCATGGCTCCCTGATGTTTATACCAAAGTTGTTCAAAAGGACCTGGATATCCCAGAGTTTTAGAGGAAAGTTGTATAGATAGACAAGTCAAAACTGAAGCTTTTCTGGATATGTTCATGAAAGAAATGTCAAACAACAAAAATTGGTGCTATTTATTCACTCAGACTATATAAATACACATACACAAATATATATGTATACATAGATACGCACACATTAGTAGATCCACATGAAGTACTGTTAAGATACAGTGGAAAAGAGCAAAAATATAAGAACTAAATAATGTTTCAGGAAACTATATTTCTTAGTCCATACTGATCCATAACATCTTTGTGTTCTGGTGTAAAATGGAAATGAGGACAAATAGTCTGTTGCATTTAATATGAGAACAAGCATGAGTGACAACCAAGGTTCATATATGGAGTACAATAGAGTTTAATTTGACTTTGTGTGTTATAGGATCCAAAGTGATTTGTCATTGTAGTCTGTTTAATTATCCAACCATAATTTAGAGTGGTGTGTGAACCACTGTGAACATTGTTATTCTATACCAACTTAGAAATGGGTGGTAGGAGATTTCAGTTAAAAAGTGTGACAAATCTTAACAATTGGAGTGTCAAATTCTGATGGCTGATAGGAAGTAAGATAAGCATTCATTCTGTTTCAGCAAGTTTAAAATCTGCTAGAAATCTTTCACAAATCATTTTCACTTTGCCTCTTTAAGTAGCAAAATAGAGAGAGACAAGCCTTTCTGCTTCAGTTTATCTGGTAGAATTATGATAAATGGGTTTCCTCAAGAAACACATCACAGTTGGTTTCCTCAAGTATCTTTCTGAAGGTTTCTTAGTTTGTGCTTTTCTTTTAAACTACTATTTCAGCTTTCCCTAACTTGACACTCTCCAATATGTTAATCAGAAATGGCATTCTGGCTACTGAGAATTATAGTTCATTCACATCTGGATGTTGCCAAGCTGGGAAAGGCTATACAAGGATCATCAATTCTTTTTTACTTTTATATGAATCAAGTTGAATGATAATAACACTGTGGTATTATAAGAGACTTGGCATATGGGTTGCAGGGACACAATGCTAGTAACAAATTATTGTGTTACTGAAACCTAAAAGCAATTTGAAAGAGACGGTGGGAAAACTTGTTTACAAGCCAAGTTCTCTCTTCTGTAAAAAAAAACAACACAACAACTATTATTTGTTTGTATTTATTATTTTGATTTATATCCCATCCCATCCCAAAAATCTCTTACATCGGTAAGACTTTTTCCCATGAAAGCTTATAAACTTAGTTTAGGCAGTTTTAGAAGGCCCATACAAAAAAGAATGACATTATAAATGTTACTAGATACCAAATGAGTGATTGATCAAATTTATATAGCCACCTATATAAGTGTGTGTGTGTGTGTGTGTGTGTAGATGATAATTGAGCCCAAAATTATCGTCTAACAAATTTGTTAAGTGCCAGAATTTTTAAGTGAATCACTGCAGTTGTTAAGTTAATAACATGGTTCTTAAATGAATCTGGCTTCCCCATTGACTTTGTTTGTCAGAAGGTCACAAAAAGTAATCACATGACCTGGGACACTGCAACCGTCATAAATTTGAGTCAGTTGCCAAGCATCTGAATTTTGATCATGTGACCATGGGGATGCTGCAGTGGTCGTAAGTTTGAAAAATGGTTGTAAGTCACTTTTTTCAGTGCCTAAATGAACTGTTTGTGTGTATGTGTCTATGTTTACGTGTACACAAAAACAGGTTTTTTTCACCAGTGCACTATTTTTGTATATTCTTACTTGCTAAATGCCTATTAGTTGGAGGCCTGGGCAAGCACTGGTGACTCCTGGCTAGCCACGGAACTAGGGAACAGATATGAGATGAGATAGAGCTATATCAATAGAGATTGTCCAGGAGAAAGATGAATCTTTACTCCAAATGCCAGGAATCTTCCTTTTTTCCTTTACCAGAACCAGCTCTCGTTGGAAAGGTTTAAATAGGATGAGCTAAAAAGAGAAGGAGAATACAGACATATTTTCTATAAAAGTAACACCATAAAATATGCTAATACCAAGTGATTGAAGAATGGGAATAAGGCCTTTCAGCTATTATAAACTTGTATTGAGATTGACAATGAAAGAATTAAGCAACACAGGAATATAATTTATTGATTTATTTTATTTGACCTCAATACCACTTTGCTTCAATTGGCACTCAGTGGCTCATAGCATAAAACAAAACAAACATATTTTTTAAACAAAAATGCATCTAATAGTAGCAAAATACAGATCTTATAAATAACAACAAACATATACACTCAGCAATGGGCTCCTAGCACTCTAGCTCAAAGCATGAGAGAAGAATCAGGTCTTCAAATCCCTCTGGAATAGCTTCCAGATGGGAGCCACCTAGATTTCAGGAGGCATCTTATACCAGCAGTCTGGCATCATGACAGAGAATGTAAATATATGTTTCTGGGGTCCCAATAGATGGCAATTCTTGAGGCTTGAATAATAATTCTCTAGGGATCTGAATATTCTAAAAGTCACTTGACCTTCTCGAATGCTTCCAAAATTCTGATTTGGGTACATTATTTTGAAGAAAATTCCAGCAAGAAACATGGGGCAGTATTCTGAAAACCCAGTGTTGGAAATATATATAAAGTCCGAGTTCCGTCCTCTCAGGAATCTCAGAAAATGGAATATTAAAAATTAGACCTTTATTTTATAACTAATTCTTCATCCCAATTGTGGAAAGTTTTGGACTGGAGAACAAGGGGAAGTTGAGAGATATAGACTAGGCTAAGTCAAACAGCAACCCAGAAAAAGGCAGCGGAGAACTATTTTCACATTAATTGCTCAAAAAGCAACATGCCTGTGACCAAATAGGCACCAGGAGTGGAGTTGACCTCAAAGCAGTTGTTAGCTTCTATATCTGGGGTAAATTGCTAGATCTTTTTACAATTGATCAACTAAAATTTCCAACTTTAACTAAAACAAAAGCTTGCTTCTTTTCTTTCTCCTCATTGAGAGTTAAATCCTGTCAATTTCTTGTCTCAGTAATAAATTTATACTTGTATATGGAAGCCATTTGCTGCATAACCACTAGAAAGACAAGATATTAATGTTCACATAAATAAATCATCTACATCTGTACAAGATAAGATACTTTCCCACCACTGTTATTCTTTCTATTCTATAAAGATACCATATATTTGTAGGTTTCAGCTGTTGGAGATAAACCACAAGATGATCCTTTCATGCTCTGTGACATCAAAAAACATTTAGATATATGTTTTTGGAACAGAATACTGAAGTAGACAGTTTTAATGGGCTTCTTTTAACCATTGCAGAGAATGTGAGACAGAGAGAGAAAAAGAAAGATTGCAGTTATATGACTCAGTGTTCCAGTAGGTACAGTTTTCAAGCCTGAATGAAAAGAATTGGCCAGAAATATATCCACACATTTTATTCCTCCTCAGCATGCCTCATCAGAAAAAGTACAGCTGCTGCATAATCTACTCAAATGCATTTATTTTTCATTCAGCAATCAAGAAAGCACTTCAAACAAGCTAAAAAACAATTCAAATTGCTTTATTTTTTCCTGTGGTTTTTATTTAGCTAATCAATATTATTACTATTCTTACTGTTTACATGTTTTGTAAGAGAAAATATTTTAATAGGCTTTAAAATATTGTCATATGAACACATCTGATCATTGGAAATCCAGTCTGCTTACCTTCTGTTTAGTTTTGCTTAGCTTATCTGAACAGAAAAAATATAGAGGAAACAAATAGATTTCCATTTAGTTAGAAATAAACAGGCTGAATAGGAATTATGAAGACCACCAGATTGTCTCAGCATAATAGACGGCTGCTGGTAACCCAAAAAATAACTATACACATCCAATATTTTGGTTATATTGTGACAAACAGAATTTTCTATGTGCTAATTTTATGCTTTTGCCACACTTTTTCCCTGATTCTAGAAATAGTGCAAATACATTATCAATTTATGTCAGAACCAGGCATAAGGTGATGTCACTAACCTTATTGTGATCACTTAATACAGCTCAGATGGTATCATATTAAGGAATAACATGGTTTGATGGTTTGGGTATAATGTGTTGTATGATCCCAGCAAATCGTCATCCATTTAATAAACCATGTTTAATCAAACCATGGCTTGATGGTTGAGTATGAAATTTAAATTCCATCACCGTCTATTCTAAAAGCTGGAACAAAATATTTCTTGCTGCAGCCATTTGGATAGACAGACACACACACACCCTTAAGAATATGAATATAATTATAATTCCAAAATGTAAGTAGTTATATTAAATAGTAAGTTCTATCTGGGTGAATGGCTATTCCAATTACAGTGTATTCTTTAGTTTTATTTTACCTCCAAGGAACTGCCATGAACACTGCTAATAATCTCATGATTTCACAGAGGTGGGTAAAGATGCCTGTTTGCCTTTTGGAATGATGGGGGGGGGGGAGTTTTAAAGGTATAATCCAAGAATTTCCCTCTTCTACTTTCTTTATTCACTCTTTCCTACCAAGATTCTACTTTCTTACATTTTTCATAAGGATTACATATTTTTGCCTCTGCTTTAGGTGCTAAACCTGCTCCTGAGATATGCTTTCAGAGAGTCAATTCTGCAGGAGATCCATATGGGAACTGTGGCAAGGATTCTAAAAGTACTTTTGCCAAATGTGAACCCAGGTACATAACTGTGCGTCTGTCCAAAATAAAAATAAGTAAAGCAGTGCGAATAGAGATGCTGATGATTATTCCTCTCTTTTCAGAGATTCAAAGTGTGGAAAAATTCAGTGTCAAGGGGGAGCAAGTCGACCTGTAATTGGTACCAATGCTGTCTCAATAGAAACAAACATCCCTCTACAAGGAGGAGGCAAAATTCTGTGCCGAGGAACACATGTTTACTTGGGGGATGACATGCCTGATCCTGGTCTTGTCTTGGCTGGAACAAAATGTGAAGATGAAAAAGTAAGGCTTAGAAATCCTGTCCCTCCGTTCCTTTGGTATCTAAGGCCTTTCAAATGTATATGTATTGCATCTAGTCCTTTTTTTCAATCTTACTTTCTGTACTTTGAACTAATAGCCTGGCAAACCTAACATAAAGGATTATGCAAATAGCTCTTCTGGTGTCAACGATACTTAAGGGTCTGTTGATGATACATGGAATCAGTTTACTCTTTAGCCAGAAGGAGTAGCGGTAAATTGGTACATAAAATTTTTGAAACAAGAGTATATAGTACCAAAAAAATAATAAATTATATATTAGGAAAAGAGAGGAGAATGAGCAAATGTTTGGTCCATACAATGAGTTACTCTTGCAATGTTTATATTTTATATCATTTATGTGAACTTTCTTGTTGTTTGAGTTAATATCAAAGTAGTGGTAATATGATTTCCAATACTTCCTATGTCCAGCAGAATCAGCTAAAGTTGATGACAGAGCTTAATTCAAGCATGGACACATTGGCACTTACATGAATAATTTGTGTGGAATAGTAAATGTTGAGCTCATAAAGTTATAATATATCTATCACCATGCACTTGGATAAACTATCCTTCCCTACCAATTTATTTCATAAAACATGTTTGGATGAATTCTAAAGTAAATGTCTCCCAAATTCATCCCTTTAGGATTTCTATATAATAACAGGGCAGACAATCAGTGAGACAAGCAATTCAAACACCATCTTTGTTCCCTCTTCGCAGAATCACAACATTAAAAACCCAGCAACAAATTAACATTTTTTTTGTGATGAGATTTTTCATTTAATACACTTGCTGGCCACAAAAATAGTTGCCTATTCCTGAACTTTAAGAATCTCATCTTCCTTGTCTTATATATTTTTAAATAGTCAGCAATACTGGTATTAATTATCTTAAAATCAAATAGGACTGAGATTTTTTTTGTTGATGTTCTTCCCTCTGTTGATATTTTTCTGAACATGAGCTGAAGTAGTTTGAATGTATGGAATTGAAAATCCCCAGGCTTGTTATCCTAAACAAGTTAAATATTAATATCAAATCTGTGTTGTCAAGAGCAGTTCAAATTTTGACTCTCATATTAGTCATTGTCCTATCTCAGATAACATGTTAGGATAATCTGGACTCTTCTAATATTTTTTGCACACTGCTTGGAAGATTGAAGTCAACATTATTTCTGTAGATCAGGTGAAAATATGGCTTTTTATTCTTAATTCAGGAATCATGTCTGACTATAACTTTATCCATTAAATACCTCTCTGTTAGTATGCTTATAATTATGTATATACGTGGAGAAGACCATAAAATGGCTTTGACATAGCATTTCTTGTTAAGAACTGCCTCTACAGTAAAGCCAATTTTAAAATTTTTAACTTTTAACTTTTGCTTTTTTTCATTCTATTCCATTGAACTTTATTTTTATTTTTATTTATTTTCATTCTTGTTCTGTTGGGAAACTGTATATTTACTATTTTTCTGGAGATCTGTATTTTTACCATTTTTGCCATGGGGGAAAAAAAAGAAGAGGCAACATTCACATTCTGTTTCTCAAACTTCACCCAAGCCTATAAAACTGTTCCAAGTTGACAGTTATCTAAAAAGCAAACATCTACTTACCCTAAATAACCAGGCAGCTCCACTCTTCCCACTAGTGTCTATAATCGATATGACCTCTTGGGATGGAATTTACAAGTGGGGATTGAGAGCTCCTGACTTTTATATTTTTCTGCTTCAGTGCTTGAGGAAGCTTCCCCCTCACAAATCAAAGCCATTTGTCCACCAACTGCAAGGCTTATACAACAAGGTGATACAACAGCGCGTTGCTAGAGCAGGGCGGGAAGAGAGGGGGCGGTGGTGGCAAATCATGAAAGCAGCGTCCACACGTTCAGGGTGCAAACGCCTTGGACGGTTTGGCTCCCCCACCCCTTTATTTACTGATCTGCCACAAGCTCGTGCAAACAAGCCCCGAGGAGTTCTGAACGAGCGTTGTTTAAAAAAAAAAAGCTTTAAGCAACGAGGTAGAAAGGGGAACTCGCTCACGGCTCTTTTTTTCCCTTTCTCGGCGACTGGGAAGGCAGCAGCCAGAGACGCCACTGCACAAAGGGAGGCGGAGAAAGGGGTGAGGGGGAAAACCTCACTCAACTTTTGCCCTTATCAGACCCGGTTCCCTTCTGGTCGACACCCACCCACCCGCCCCTTCACCTCCCGCTACAGATCGACGCTACCCCTCGGGAGTATTTTGCCAGGGTTTTTTGTTTTTTTTTTTACCTTGGCCCTGCACTTCTCCCAGACGGAAGCCAGGCAAGAGGACCTGAAAGACGCCGAGCAGGAGGTTCATAGCCGTGGCGACGTGGCAGTAGCTGCTCTGCGATGGGTAGCGCAGCCCCGCCATGCTGCTGAGGCGGCTACTTTCCTGTCTGCCCGAGCTGGCTGGCAGAGCTAGCCTTGAGCAGAAATTCACACTAGTGTCTCGGTTCCTAAGACCATCGGAAATATGTGTTTTCCGATGGTCTTAGGCGACCCCTGTGAAAGCGTCGTTCGACCCCCAAAAGGGTCGCGACCCACAGATTGAGAACCGCTGAAATAGAGGAAAATGGAGGTTCAGAAGTGCAACCATTATCTCCTTCAGGTAGCTTGTACACTGTGAAAGGCGATTGATTTGCAGAACATTGAATGGCTTCTATCCAGGAGAGACTCTAAACAAATCCTTCTACCCTTTAAACATCTTACTATGACCAGCATGTGGTTCAAAATGAAACCAATTTTAAGCAACTTTGAAATCTTCTCACTCCATGTGTTTCACACAGAGGGGGTTAGCTCATTAATAACTCATCTTGGCAATAAGAGTGCTTTTACTTTAACATTTAATTTCAGCAACATAATAATAGGTAACTTCAAGGACTTTCTATCACCACTGTCCTTGAGAAGAGATAGGCTGAGCAAACAATATGTACTTTCCACAGAAGTCAATGTTCTGCAGAACCCTTAGAGACAAACTTCATTAACTCAGTATCTTGCCAGATACCGAACAAGTGGGCATTACGAAAAAGGCTAGATGACTGAAGAAATTATTACAATAACACATAAAATTGCTAAGACTTTAATACATAAAATTGCTAAGACTTTAATAGACATGGTCACCCCAAGAAAATAGTACCTATCTTGAGAAACCATCTGCTGATTACTTCCTATTTTAACATGGCATATAAATACAGAAAAGAACAGCAAAAAGTTCTCAGGAATAGTTTCTACCATATAGTGCCTGTTTCCTGTTAAAATACTATACCACATGGAAAATGTAAGAAATGGAAACAAAATGGAGCCCAATAGACAAGAGGAAACAGGATGCAACACTAATCTTTGTGAGTTACTAGCAGAGGTGATTGTAGGGTAGGACTAAGTGACAAGGAAGAAACCCTTAGCTCAACACTTCTAAAATTAAAAACAAGCCCCAAAACATCAGTTAGTATTTTCCCAATCACCCTCTCCCAGCAATATTAAGCATAAGAATTTTATCCCGTTACTGATTTGGAATAATGCTGGCTGGAAGAACAGTAGCAAATGGGACCTGATGGAGTTCCCCTTTAAATTTGACTTTACAGCATCCCAAGAGTGCCTGCTATGCAGATTGTATCAAATAGGATATAACTATTTCAAATACACTAAATTTGTTCCAAGCTGGGCAGAAATTCTCCTTGTAATAAAGCTGGTAAAGTCTCCATTGGCATGGACAGATAATGAACTAATGATCCGATTTAATTCGATTTTCTATGTTCCTGTTTTAAATATAAAATCTTTTTCCTGAAAGATCATATGAAATGATTGAATTAATTTAAAAGGGAGTATTTCAAAATGTATACAAGTCAACTTTGAAACTAGTAGCATGTTTCTTCTATGGAATGTAACACTAGGAACAGTGCATAAATATAAGAAAAAATAGACTGGTGTATTGTAAGATACATATTTTGGATGCAAAAAACAGTTGCATTATACAGTGTAGCTTTGCTTTCTCCTGAAAAATTTCCTGCAGATGCCCATAAAAATGATCATCCAGCTGGGATCCATCAAGCTCTGTCATTAAAGGGTTTTAGAAAAGTCCTGAAAATTCATCTGTTTTTCTTGGCCTTTTTGTGATTGTGTTCAGTTGCATTGTTCTTGATTTTCATCTTTAGTTGTGCAATATTTTAATACTGTCTAACTATAAATTGTTATTGCTTGATTTATTGCTTTTATTAAATTTTGTTCCTTTATTATTTATTAGATTGTGTTGTATAAGCTTCACAAGGAGGGCTTTAGTCCTTAGGTAACCTAGAAATGCCTTTAAAGCATCAAATAAATAATGCGTAACACACAGCCCACACAATGTCCTCTGATTTAGAAGAATTGAATTTTTTTAGACAGATCTTCCAAATAGGCTTGAGTCCTTCTGACTTTTGTTTCAGATTTTAATTATGAGCTCTTAGTTTTACTTTCTTGATTGGGGGTGGGATTCTTTATGAAAATGGACCAGTATCGTAGCATTGTGTCAAAGCTATGGTCTTTTCTGAGAGGAGAACATAGAACACCTTGACTTAATGGTTGGAACTATGCTATTTAGTAGTTTTTGGATGACATTTTCATCTTCTTCATTAATTATGTGCTTTAGCATATTCCAACCTGGGAAAGTTGCCAGAGCATAAAGCAGTTCCTGTAAAGCAAAGAAATAGCTTTTCACATCTAGAAGAATATATAAAACATCTTGCTCAGTATATCTATGCATAGCTTTTCCAGAGTAGTCAAGCAAGAAAAGAAAATAATGAAAAGCTATGAGAACAATGCCTCTGAGAATTTGAGAGAGGTAGGGTTTAAGCAATGTCCTCTGAGATTGGCAGAGTACAGATCAAAATTAGTTTCTGGCTTATCTAAGTCTCTGAGCTTATGCTTACTTTTGAGGTCTATATGCTTCATGTGTTATACATAAACCTGCGGCAATATCTTAATATTTGTAA